AAAGTGCAACAATGAATGAATGGAAAGCCAAAATCTTTGTAAATGTTCATTGAAATTAATTTTTTAAAAAATGACCAGTTGATATAATGGCCCCATATTTCACTCTCAGGGTTCAGGAAATGAAGACAAAAACCAAGAATGAAGAAGGATTTTTCTCCCTACCTCTCTCTCCATCTCAGGGACTTGTTATCCTAGCAACTCTTTGCCCTGGGTCATCATTTATTTAGGCAAAAATGAACTGGACAATTTGTTCCTATGTATCATTATAAAAACACTCGCTTGCTGTTTCCCCCTGCTTCTTCTCTGTATTTGTATTAGTAAGACTTCTCTGTGTGAAGTGGACAGTGAGTAGGAGTGGGAAAGGGGGGAGCTGAAAGATGTCTTCTGTAAAAACACTCTTGTTAATAATTTACATTCCTGAAATTCTACTCCAACATTAGACCTCACCTAAGTATTTCCTTCCAACTGAAATAGATCTCCTTTTTGGCCTATTCAACACCTGCTTTCCTTTTCAAATGCAGATTAGACTTCTGTCAGTTCTCACACAGCAATGAGGAATTCATCTGTGTATTATATTTAAATCTCTAACTTCTCAAATAATAAAAATATCTTCCATTCTCCCATGTAAAAGACACCGGGGATATGAGCTGACCCCTAGTCCATGTAGGGGGCTCCTCTCTGACTGTGTATCTCAACCCTGGTTGCTTCTCAGAATCAAAATCCTGACTAATTAGTTCAGAATCCCTGGAGGTTGGACGCAGACATCAGTACTTGAAGAGGCTGTTCAGTGTACTGTTCATGACAATTAATGTTATGGTTCCAGGATTTTCAGTGCCAAAGCTAAATCTCAGAGACTTACCAGGACTGTGGGCATAGGCATATTAATATTTCTGTGTTTAGTTCCCTATCTACAGGAATTGTTGTTAAGTGTCATCGAGTCATAGATGACTCATAGCAACCCTATGAAAAATTGTATAATTTTCGTCGTTTCTCCAAGTTCATCGTTTCCAGAGGCAAGCTCTTTCAGAAGTGGATGCCACTCCTGTTTCCAAGTTTGTTTTAATCGGAGAGCTCCACCAAACACTGTCCACCATGGGGAACCATTATAGTGTTTGACACATCAGTGTCACAGTGTTTAGCATCACAGCAACCACGAGTTCCCTCTGTCCAGCAAATGGACAGACCAGTGCTATACCACTTAGAAGAATGTTTGACCAAAAACAATTAAAACCAGGCCTGAGGGCTGCAAATTAAAATCACCCACCTTTGACCTGGTAGCATAACTTTCTATCCACCAGGCCCGCGGAACTCTATGTTGGTAGTGTTGTTGTTAAGTGCCATTAAGTCATAGAAGACCCATAATAAAAACATTAGTATGTTTTTATCAGTAAAGCTGTTGTGAAGATTACTTGAGAGTCAGTTTATAACCTTAGTACAATGCCTGGTATGCAGTTGACAATCAGTGTAGACACCAACCCCAAGGCTTCTCACCACCAAGAAATCCTCTCCCGCCATGAGGATTGTAGATAGTGTAACTTCTGAGAATGGGTAGTAAGGAACCTGGCAGTTACCTCCTTGTTGTCTTTTTTCAATCTCTTGCTGTGAGGAAGATAGCTGCCATATTGTAAAGTCACTCAAATAGCCATAAGAAGAGATCAATGTGAGGATAGCCTCCTGCCAACAGCCATGTCAATGAGCCACTTAGGTGGAAAAAGCCCCTCTAGACTCCATTCTCTTGGTCCACGGGATGTGGGTGTTTTTTTTTTTTATTATTAAATTTTATTAATTTTAATGAACATTTACAGAGATCTTGGATTTCCATTCATTCATTGTTGCACCATTTTCTCTACCCTCCCCCCAATTCATTCCTCTTTCCCCCCCTTGAAAGTCCGTTTTAATTGTCCCATTGCCACAGTGCTTGTCAAAACCAGTTCTGATTAATCTCCTTTGTCACTGTGTCCTTTGCCATTCCCTATCACTCCTCCCTGAGAGAGACTTCACCCTGATTCATAAGGAAAAGGGGATGGCGTATTCTCTTAGCTACTTCCTGCTGAAAAGGGACGCTGTAGGTTTCAGGGTGAAGATCTTCTCTCACTACTCTAAAGGACCCCTTTGGCAATAGGAAACACGTAGACTACTGTGGAGATTGATTTTGGAATTTAGATGCACTGTTGTCAATTGTGCTTAGCCATACATATTCATATCTTTGAAGATGTATCATGGAACTGTTGCAGCCTAGAAGACACAAATTTAACAAATTAAAAGTACATGAGTCAAAAATTAAAAAGCAATAATATTCCGAGTAGAGGTTCTAATAGTGGCACAAATCAAGTTACAGAGAGAAAGTAGTTCTTAAAATAAAAGGCCTATTGACTAGCACTTTATCTATTATTGTATAAAGGTTAAGAACCACAAGATTTAGAGGCTCAACTATGTCATTTATTTTTCTTAAGTCCTGGAGCAAATTCCATCTACCACTGGGTTGTTTTACAGCTCAGAAGTCCACATGCAAGGCAGAGGTGAAGTAAGGAACTGCTTATGAGGTTTTCAGTCATTTCCAACAACTAAGAAATAGTGAGAAGAGTTGGGACCTCAGAAGGCTTTTAGGATCAAATAGTAGGCTCTTGTGTCTAGGAGAAAACGAATATACTTACCAGTAATGTTAATGCTCACCCACAGCTCTTCTGGGAGGATCTAAATCGGGTCCATGGGATGTTTTGTGCGCTTCTCCATTACCACAGCTCAAAGGTATCAACTCTTTTTTTCTGTTCTCCCTATTCATTGTCCAGCTCTCAGATGCATAGCAAGTGATCAGAAAGTCTGAATTATATGCACTTTAGTCCTCAAACTAGCATCATTACTCCTCAATAATTTGGAGAGGTCCTTGACTGCAAATTTTCCAAGTGCAATGTGTCTCCTTACTTCCTGACTGCTGGTACCAAAGGTGTTAATTGTGAATCCAAGCAAATGAAACTGTTGATAATTTCAATCTCTTCTCCCTCCATCATGATGTTGCCTATTGGTACAATGGTAAAAATCTTTATTTTCTTGACTTTGAGATGCAGTCCATACTGAAGGCTGCATTCCTTGAACTTTTGCAACAAGTACTTCAAGTGCTTTGAGCTGTGGTATTGGAGAAGAGCACTGAACATTCCGTGGACTGCCAAAAGAACAAACAAATATGTCATAGAGACAGTGTAGCTGGAGGGCTCTTTGGGGGGAAGAATGATGAGGCTTCATAGGAGGAGCTAGTCCTTGGAGAGGGACATGATGCTAAGAATGGCGGAGGGTCAGCGAAGGAGAAGAAGACCCTAAACCAGGTGGACTAACACGGTGACTGCCACAATGGGCTCTAGTGTGTCAGGAAGTCTGAGGATGGCACAGGATAGAACAGGGTTCAGATCTTTTGTTCACAGGGTCGCTATGAGTTGTACTCAACTCGATAGCACCTAACAACAAGAAGTGTCCATTAAGTCTTCAAATGATGGTAGCCCCATATGGACTATAAGCTCATGAGAAATTCCAAGCTGAACCTATCAATTAAGCCCTTCTGGATACACACAGACGGTATGAAATAATAATGCCATTCTTTTAGGCCATTAAATTTTGGAGTAACTTATTTTGCAGACATAAGTGACTAAAACAATAAATAGGATGATTATCATTATTATTATAAAAGACTTCCTAATTTTGAACTGAAATCCACCTTCTTAAAATTCCTACCCCCTCTTCCAGATTTTTTGGGTTTTTTTGTTTGTTTGTTCATTGGCTTTTTTAGCCGCATAGAAAGAACAGAATCTCTCTTCTTCATGGTCAAAATATTTGGCAACAGTGTTCCTATAACAACTTAATTTATTAGCTATTAGCTGAAAAAAAGCCACTGAGTAGGCACTGTTGTTGCTGTTGTTGTTATTGTTGTGTACCATAGAGTTGGAACCGACCCATAGCTAACCTTCCAGCAGGTTT